ATGTAAGAGGCGTGGCTTGCAGCTGTTGATTGACAGCTAAGGTACTCATGTAACCTAATGCAAGGGGCGTGGCTTGTACCTGTTGATTGTCAGATAAAGTATTAATGTAACCCAATGCAAGGGGCGTGGCTTGCAGCTGATTGACAGCAATAGGGCAGGGTTCCACTGGTGATTGACAAGGAATGAAAGAAGCTGATTGGTCCTCTCCAAATGGGCGGGGTCACCAACTCAATGACATCATCCACATAGAAAGAGGCGTGGCCAGAAGATGGAGTGGGTGGGGAATATTTTATTAAGTGGGCGTGGCCGGTTTGGGCGTGGCCACCTCAATCCCGCCAGGTCACCTCCACCTCGTCCGTCCGGTACCTGCCACAGCCAGAGGTCAAAGGTCAGAGCCCGGACAATCCACCCCCAGCCCTGCCCACCCGGCCACACCCCCTGACCTCTGCGTGATCCCTGATTGGCTGAGCTCTGTCACTTGCCCCACCCTCAGCATCTCGCAGCCGGCCTGGGCGATCATGGCGCCGTTGTCGATGCAGTACCTGCGGGGTCAAAGGTCACAGGTGTGCCACGCCCCCTCCCGATGGAGGCCACGCCCCCCAGAGGGAGGCCACGCCCTCACCTGTCGTCGACGGGGCAAAGCTCCGCCCCCCGGGCCCTGCACATGCTCTGTAGCATCTCCTGTAGCCGGTGGTTACCTGTGCACAGGTGGGCGTTACCTGGGTGTTGCCTGCCCTTGGCTCCGCCCCTGCATGCAAATGGAGGTCACGCCCCTCTTTATGCAAAACTGGGCCTCACCCATTCGGCCGTGACTAATTCTGGATGCCCACGCCCCCTCCCGTCTGACCCCGCCCACCTTCAAGTGTGGCCACGCCCACCCTAAGTGAGATCATGCCCATCTCCAGGGGAGTCCACGCCCCTAGGTGTGGCCAGACCCATTGACAGGTGTGACCACGCCCACCCCAGGTGTGACCGCATCCTCCCAGGTGTGACCCCGCCCACGGCAGGTGTGGCCCCGCCCACTCACAGGCCACGCCCCCCACGAGCAGCAGGTGCCGGGCCCGGGTCAGCGCCAGCGCCCGCTCAGTGACCTCGGCCAGCATGGCGAACGCTGTCTCCTGGGACACAGAAACGGCAGAAAAATGACCCAAAAGTGGCACCAAAACGGCCCCAAATTGTCCCAAAATGGTCCCAAATACGTCCCAAATATAGCCCAAAAACAGATCAGAAATGGCCCAAAAACGGCCCAGAAACATCCTAAAAATGGCCTCAAAAAGGGCCCAAATATCACCCAAAAAATAGCCTCCAAATGGCCCAAATTTATCCCAAAAATGTCCCCAAAATGTCGTTAAATTGGCCCGAAATGGTCCCAAAAACCCGCACAAAAAAGGCCCATAAATGTCTTAAAAGTGGCCCAAAAAACACCCCAAAATGGCCCAAAAATGGCCCTAAAATGTCCCCAAAAATGGCCCAAAAGCCACCTAAAAATGGCCCCCAAACATGGCCAAAATATCACCCAAAAACGTCCCCAAAAATGTTCCAAAATTGTCACAAAAATGGCCTCAAAAATGGCGCCACGAATGTCCCAAAAATGCCCAGAAATTTCCCTGAAAGCGCCCAAAAATGTCCCAAAAGAGGCCCTGAAAATGACCCAAAGTATGTCCAAATAATGTTCCAAAAAATGGTCCCAAAACCACCCCAAAAATGGCCCCAAGAACGGCCCAAAATTACCCCCAAAATGTCCCAAAAATGGCCCCAAAAATGTCCCAAAAATGTCCTGGAAATGGCTCCCAAAAATGGCCCCCAAAATGCCCAAAACCACCTCAAAAATGGCCCCAAAATGTCCCAAAAATGGCCTAAAAACCACCCCAAAAACGTCCCCAAAATGTCCCAAAATCGCACCCAAAATTAACTCCCCAAGTCCCATTAATTAACCCAGACCCTCATTAATTACCCCAATTAATTAACCCCCCCAAATCCCATTTTCAAACCCCAATTAAGCGCCCCAAACTGCAATTAATTGATCCCAAACCCCAATTAATTAATCCCAAACCCCAACTGACTAATCCGGAACTTCATTAATTAACCCAACCTCGTTAATTACCCCAATTAATTACCCCTAATTACCTGCAGGGAGAAGCAGAGATCCTCCGGCGTCGCCTCCCCCGACTCCAGCAGCTTTGGGGTCACGGCCTGCGGGGAAAAAAACCCAAATTTTGGGGCAATTTTGGGGAATTTTGGGTCCTCAGGTGGATTTTGGGGTCCGATTTGGGGATTTTTAAGTCAATTTTGGGATCAGTTTTGGGGTTTTTGGGTCAGTTTTGGGGTGAGTTTTGGGGTGAGTTTTGGGGTCAGTTTGGGGATTTTGGGGTCAGATTTAGAGATTTTGGGGTCAGTTCTGGGGTTTTTGGGGTCTCCAGGTGGATTTTGGGATCTCCAGGTGAACTTTGGGGTCAATCCCAGAGATTTTGGGGTCAGATTCGGGATTTTGGGGTCAATCCCAGAGATTTTGGCGACCCCCAGGTGGATTTTGAGGTCTCCAGGTGGATTTTGGGGTCAGTTTTAAGGTTTTAGGGTTTGGGGATGTTTAGAGGTCAGTTTTGGGGTGAATTTTGGGGTTTTGGGTCAGTTTTGGGGTGAATTTTGGGGTTTTTGGTACCTGCAGGTGGGAGAGCAGCCCCGAGAAGGAGACGTCGAGGCCTTTGACCACATAGGGCAGCGGGGAGCAGGCGGCGACCCCTGGCATTGGGGGAAAATCCCGGGATTTTGGGTCACTTTGGGTTTTTGGGGTTGGTTCAGGGGGGTTTGGGGTAAAATCCCGTGATTTTGGGCTCAGTTTTGGGGTAATTTCAGGGGTTTTTGGGGTCACTTTTGGGGGTCACTTTTGGGGGATTTTGAGCTCAGTTTTGGGGTCACTTTTGGGGTGATTTGGGGCCACTTCTGGGGTAATTTCAGGGAATTTTGGGGTCAGTTTTGGGGAGATTTCAGGAGGTTTTCAGGGTCACTTTTGGGGTCAGTCTAAGGCTCAGTTTTGGGGCAATTTCAGGGTATTTTGGGGTCACTTTTGGGGTCAGTCTAAGGCTCAGTTTTCGGGTAATTTCAGGGAATTTTGGGGTCAGTTTTGGGGTGATTTCAGGAGGTTTTCAGGGTCACTTTTGGGGTCATTTTAGGGGATTTTGGGGTCAGTTTTGGGCTCCATTTTGGGGTAATTTCATGAGAATTTGGGCTCAGTTTTGGGGTCACTTTTGGGGTCATTTCAGGGCGTTTTAAGCTCATTTTTGGGGTAATTTCAGGCGTTTTTGGCTCACCTCTTGGCCAGCTGCTCCACGTTGTAGCCAGGGCTGGGGGCATTGGGGATCTGCAGGAAAAGGGGCGGGGTCAGATCTGGGGGCGGGGTCAGATCTGGGGGCGGGGTCAGTCCGGGGTGTGGCCGGTGGGCGTGTCCCGGTGGGCGTGTCCCACCTGCAGCAGCCGGGCCAATCGGTCGATGCAGTTGCCAACGGCCACGTCCAGGGTCTCGCCCAGGATCCGGTACCGGCGCCGCGCGTACGCGATCACCTGCGGGGCGGGCAGGGGGCGTGGCTATCGCGATAGGGGCTGGGCCCCGCCTCTGCCGTCGCGATATCCCACGACGGCAGCCACCTCCTGACACTCCCATTATGCGATATCTCGCGATATCGGCCATTTCCTGACAGGCCTGTCACGATATCTCGCGATATTGGACATTTCCTCCCTCTGCCATCGCGGTATTGGCCGTTTCCTCCCACCCCCATCGCGATACGGGCCATTTCCTCACACCTCTGTCGCGATATCCTGCGATATCGGCCATTTTCTCCATCTCCCATCACGATATTGGCTATTCCCTCCCTCTCCCATCACGATACCGCCCATTTCCTCACGCTCCTGTCATGATATCTCACGATAGCAGCTATTTCCTCACATCCCCATCACGATATTGGCCATTCCCTCCCTCCCCGCTCGCGATATCCCGCGATACCGGCCGCCCCCTATCGCCCCCTATCGCGGCACCTGGGTGTTGCCGCCGCTGACGTAGAGCACGAGCGGGTCGGGGGCGAGGCCGATGGCGCGGCCCATCTCGATGTGGCCCAGGCAGTGATTGACGGCCAGCAGGGGCCGCCCCCAGAGCTGCGACAGCGTCCGGGCCACGGCCGCCACCACCGCCAGCGGGGAGCCCATGCCCGGGCCTGGGCCGGGATAAACGAGTAAATAAATAAATAATAAATAAATAAGTAAATAAACCCCCCCGGAGGGTGATGGGAGCGGCCAAAATAACCCAAAAACCCCCCAAAACCCCCCAGGAATGGGATTGTCCAACCTCCCCCCCCGCCATGGGGGAGTGGGAGGGTCCGTAATAACCCACAAACCCCAAAATCCCCCTCAAACCCCCCCCGGGGTGAATGGGATCGTCCAATCCCCCCCTCCCGGGGTGCATGGGATTGTCCAAAGCCCCCCACAAACCCCAAAAAAGAAATTTATGAGATCTGTAGGGGATCTATGGGATCTGTACAGGATCTATGGGGGATCTATGGGGGATTTATGGGGTCCCGGTTCGGTTCCGTTACCGGTCCCGGTACCCTTAGTGAAGGCCACCCCGTCCAGCTCCCGGGGCTGTGTGGAGCCTGTGGGGCCTATAAGGGATCTATGAGGCCTATAACGGATCTATGGGGTCTGTAGGGTTTATAACCGATTTATGGGGCCCCGGTTCGGTCCCGGTACCGTTCCCGGTCCCATACCCTTAGTGAAAGCCACCCCGTCCAGGTCGCGGGGCTCCAGCCCCGCCTCGCTCAGCGCGGCCCGCACCAGCCCCAGCACCACGGCCCGGTGGTGCCGCCCGGTGGGCCCGGGGGCGAACCCTGCGGAAAGACCGGCATTAGAACCGGGAAACTGCACCGGGACCGGAAGTGGGGCGGGAAAAAGGGGAAGTGACGTCACCGTGTCCCGGCGGTGTGACGTATGTGGCGCGGCGGTTGCTGAGGACGGCGCCGTCGCGCACCACTCCCGCTCCCACCTTGTTGGCGGAGCCCTCCAGGCCCAGCACGGTCGGCATGACGTCACGCCCGCTGTGTGCCGCCGCCGCTGTGACGTCACGCCGCCGCTCCGCCGGTTCTCCGCCTCACGGTGCTTCTCCCGCCGCTCCGCTACGTCACTTCCGTTTCCCGCCTCAATTCTCTCCCAGCCTCAGGAGCGTTTCCGGTTCCGGCCACGCCCCCCATTGACCATCGCTTCCCGCGCGCGCGGAGTCGCCGCTCCCGCCGCCGCCGCTGATTGGTCCCGCGCGCTGAGGCACGGCGCGCTCTGATTGGTCCCGCGCGCTCAGGCGCGGCGCGCTCTGATTGGTCCCCCGCGCTGAGGCACGGCGGGCGCTGATTGGTCCCGTGCGCTGAGGTACGGCGGTCGCTGATTGGTCGCTCCTAAGGGCTGAGGTACGGCGCGCTCTGATTGGTCCCGCGAGCTCAGGGACGGCGCACTCTGATTAGTTGGGAGGGGGGGAACCTGAGTCACGGCGCGCTCTGATTGGTCCAACGGGTGAGGCACGGCGTGCTCTGATTAGGTGAGGGAGGGACCGAAAAGGAGGGGGCGGGTTTAACGGGGAGAGCGGAGGGCGGTTATTGGTCACACAGGGAGATGATTGACAGACGGTGGAGGGCGGGTCGGGCCCGGTTCAGGGCCGATCGGTCCCGGTTCGGGCCCCGGTTCGGGCCCGGTTCCGCCCCCAAGGCCGCACGTGGCGGCGGCGGGCGCTGATTGGCTGGCGCGGCGTGAGGGGAGGCGCGCTCTGATTGGCCGGAATATGAGGGCAGGCGGGTGTTAAAGCTACGGCGCACTCTGATTGACCGGGCTGCGTCGTGGAGGCGGGGTTTAAACCCCCGGCACGCTCTGATTGGCTCGCGCTGACGCTGTCCTTCTCTCTCCCCGGTGCAGGGGCGGAGCTTAAAGGCCGAGGGGGCGTGTCCGTCGGCGGAAGGGGCGGGGTCAGCGCCATGCCGAAGCGCGGGAAGAAGAAGGAGGAGAACGGGAGCGGGGACGAGGCCGGTGAGTGACCAGTATAGACCAGTATGGACCAGTATAAACCAGTATAAAACAGTACTGACCTTTTGCCCCTCCCCCTTCAGGCCCCGCCCCCGCCAAGGCCCCCAAGGCGTCCCCGGCCCCGCTTTACGAGGACCCGCCCACCCGCGAGACCACGCCCGATGGGCGGCGCTGGACGCTCAAGGTGACGACATGGAACGTGGATGGGCTGAGGGCGTGGCTGAAAAAGGGCGGTGCCAAGGTAAGGGGCGGGGCTTGTGGGCATGAGGGAGGGGCTTTTGAGGATGGGGAAGGGCTTGTGCTGGTGGGAGGAGCCAACCACAAGTTTTGGAGGGAAATTTTTCATTTTGATTTTAGACATTTTTTCATCATTTTCGGGTGATTTGCGGGGATATTTTTTTCCACTTTTGGGTTATTTTGGAATATTTTTAACCGGTTTTGGGGGGTTTTGCCCCCCAGTAGGTGTAAAAGGAGTTTTTACCACTTTGGGTTAATTTTGGTGAGAGTTCAACTATTATTGGGCCATTTTTCACTGTTTTTGCTGGGGTTTTCTCCATTTTTATTTATTTCAGAATAGATTCTCACCATTTCTGTGCGTCTTTTCCCCCCAGTGGGTGCAGGAGGAATTCCTTCCACTCTGGGTTAATTTTGGGGTTATTTCGCTGGGGTTTTTCACCATTTCTGGCTGTTTTTTTCACTGCATTTTCACCATTTTTTATAGAGTTTTTTTTTTACCATTATTGTATATTTTCAGATAGAATTTAACTATTTCTGGGTGTTTAATCCCCGGTGGGCGCAGGAGGAGGCCCCAGACGTGCTCTGCCTGCAGGAATTTTTTTTTACCGTTTCTGGGCTATTTTTGGGCCGTTTTTCGCCATTTTTTCGCCGTTTTCGCTGGGGTTTTTTCCCGTTTTTTGGTATTTTCTCATAGATTTTGCCATTTTTGTGTGGTTTCCTCCCCAGTGGGTGCAGGAGGAGGCTCCGGACGTGCTGTGCCTGCAGGAGACCAAGTGCGCGGCCTCGGCGGTGCCGGCGGAGCTGCGGGAGCTGCCGGGGCTGCCCCACCAGTTCTGGAGCAGCGCCAAGGACCGGCCGGGCTACAGCGGCGTGGGGCTGCTGGCCAGGACAGAGCCCCTGGAGGTCACCTACGGCATCGGTGAGCGCCACAGAAACGGCCAAAACCGCCCCAAAACTGGCAAGGAAGTGTCCTGGAAACCACACAGAAAACGGCCCCAAAATCGCCCCAAAACTGACACGGAAAGGTCATGAAAACCACACAGAAAACGGCCCCAAAATCGCCCCAAAACTGCCAAGGAAGTGTCCTGAAAACCACACAGAAAAGTGCCCCAAAACTGTCCTGAAACTGTCCCAAAAACTGTCCCGAAACTGCCCCGAAATCACCCCAAAACTGCCTCAAGAACCACCCCAAAAACGGCCCCAAAATTGCCCCAAAACTGACACGGAAACGTCCTGAAAACCACCCCAAAACTGTCCCAAAAACTGCCCCAAAACTGTCCTGAAACTCACCTGAAAACCGCCCCAAAACTGCCTCAAGAACCGCCCCAAAAACGGCCCCGAAATCGCCCCAAAACTGCCCTGGAACCATCCCGAAAACCACCCCAAAACTGCCCCAAAACTGTCCTGCAATCGCCCTGAAAACCGCCCCAAAACACCCTGAAATCGCCCTGAAAACCACTTGGAAATCGCCCCAAAATCACCCAAATCTATCAACCCAAAACCACCCTGAAACTGCCCAAAATCACCCCAAAATCACCCAAACCTATCAACCCAAAACCGCCCTGAAATCGCCCCAAAACTGCCACAGAACTGTGCAGAAAAGTGCCCTGAAATCACCCCCAAAACCACCCCAAACATCCCCAGAATCAACTCCCAGTCCCTCCCAGTCACTTCCAGTCCATCCCAATCCCCTCCCAGTCCCTCCCAGTCCATCCCAATCCCCTCCCAGTCCCTCCCAGTCCCTTCCAATCCACTCCCAATCCCCTCCAATCCCCTCCCAGTCCCTCCCAGTCCATCCCAGTCCCTCCCAATCCCATCCCAGTCCCTCCCAGTCCCTCCCAGTCATTCCCAGTCATTCCCAATCCCCTCCCACTCTCTCCCAGTCCCTCCCAGTTAACTCCATCTCCCCCCAGGTGACCCCGAGCACGACGTGGATGGCCCAGTTCCCATCCCAGTCCCTCCCAGTCCCTCCCAGTCCCCTCCAATCCCGTCTAATCCCCTCCCAATCTATTCCATCTCCCCCAGGTGACCCCGAGCACGACGTGGACGGCCGCGTGCTGACGGCCGAGTTCCCCTCCCAGTCATTCCCAATCCCCTCCCAGTCCCTCCCAGTCCCTCCCAGTCATTCCCAGTCATTCCCAGTCCCTCCCAGTTAACTCCATCTCCCTCCAGGTGACCCCGAGCACGATGTGGACGGCCGCGTGCTGACGGCCGAGTTCCCCTCCCTCTTCGTGGTCTGCGCCTACGTGCCCAACGCCGGGCGGGGCCTGGTGCGCCTGGAGCCGCGGCTGCGCTTCGACGCCGCCTTCCTGCAGTTCCTGCGCCGCCTGGACGCCCGCAAGCCCGTGCTGCTCTGCGGCGACCTCAACGTGGCGCACGCCGAGATCGACCTGTGCCACCCGCGCGCCAACCGCGCCAGCGCCGGCTTCACGCCGCAGGAGCGCGAGGGCTTCTCGCGGCTGCTCGGCGCCGGCTTCGCCGACTCCTTCCGGCACCTGTACCCCGAGGCCAGGGGCGCCTTCACCTTCTGGACGTACCTGGGCGGGGCGCGGGCGCGGAACGTGGGCTGGCGGCTGGACTACGCCGTGGTGTCGCGGCGCCTGCTGGGGGCGCTGTGCGACTGCAAGATCCGCAGCGCCGCGCAGGGCAGCGACCACTGCCCCGTCACCGCCCTGCTGGCGCTATGAGGGGGGGAAACGGGGCGGGAGGGGGTGAAATTGGGGTTTAGGGTGGGGTGGGGTTGTGGTTTGGGGTGTGGGTTGGGATGGAGGGGGGTTAAATTGGGGCAAATATGGGTTAAATTGGGGCAAAGTTGGGTTAAATTGGGTCAAAGTTGGGTTAAATTGGCCCAAAGTCGGATTAAATTGGATCAAAATCGGATTAAATTGGCCCAAAGTCGGGTTAAATTGGCCCAAATCAGATTAAATTGGGTCAAATTTGGCTTAAATTGGATCAAAGTCGGATTAAATTGCTCCAAAATTGGCTTAAATTGGCTCAAAATCGGATTAAATTGGATCAAAAATGGCTTAAATTGGCCCAAAATCGGATTAAATTGGCCTTAAATTGGATCAAAACCGGCTAAATTGGCCCAAAGTCGGCTTAAAAAGGCCAAAAATCAGCTTAAATTGGGTCAAAATTGGATTAAATTGGCCCAAAGTCAGGTTAAATTGGATCAAATTTGGCTTAAATTGGCCCAAAGTCGGATTAAATTGGCTCAAATTTGGGTTAAATTAGATCAAAATCGGCTTAAACTGGCCCAAAATTGGATTAAATTGGATCAAAATCGGATTAAATTGGCCCAAAGTCAGATTAAATTGGGTCAAATTTGGATTAAATTGGCCTTAAATTGGCTCAAAAGCAGCTTAAATTGGGTCAAATTCAGCTTAAATTGGCCCAAAGTTGGATTAAATTGGCTCAAAGTTGGTTAAATTGAACCAAAGTCAGCTTAAATTGCATCAAAATTGGATTAAATTGGCCCAAAGTCAGCTTGAATTGGATCAAAATCAGATTAAATTGGCCCAAAATCGGCTTAAATTGGGTCAAATTTGGCTTAAATTGGCCAAAAATCGGCTTAAATTGGATCAAATTTGCTCAAAATTCCAGTTTCTTGTCATTCGCTCATCACAGACACATTCTGGCCCAAAATCAGCTCAATTTTGCTCAAAATTGGCTTAAATTTGCTCAAAATTCGATGTTCATGGCATTCTCTGGTCATGTCTCAAAATCAGCTCAAATTTGCCCCAAATTGGCTCAAATCTGCTCGAAATCTGAGTTTCATGTCATTTTCTGGTCATGGACCCGTTCTGGCCCAAAATTGGCCTAAATTTGCTCAAAATCAGCTCAAATTTGGAGTTTGACGCCATTGGTTCAACGCGTTTCGGCCCAAAACTGCCTGAAATTCACTCAAAATGTCTCAGAGTCGGGCGTTGATGACGTCATCAAAGCCAAGACGGCTTTTAATCAAGTATTGACCCAAAATGTCCTGAAATTGACCCAAAACCTCCCCCAAATTACCCGAAACGTCCCCGAATCGCCCCAAAACAGGGTTCTGATGACGTCATCAGCTCGTCCCCCGTTTTTACCCAAATTCACCCAAAACCGCCCAGGTTTAACCTTGATGACGTCATCAGCCCCAAGATGGCGCTCCCCCCGCCCCGTTTTTACCCAAATTCACCCAATTTTGGGTCTCTCAGGTGCTGCCGCCACTGCTCGGACACAAAATCCCCCAAAACTGCCCCAAAACCCTTCTGGCCCCGCCCCCTCCCCCTAGGGCTCCGCCCCCTTAGACCCCGCCCCCTCAAGCCCCTCCCCTCCCCTTTATCTTTTAATAAAAGTGAATTTTGGGGTGAAAAATGCCGGTTTCGGGTTTATTTACAGATGAGGGGCCACGCCCCCTCGGTGGGCGTGGCCAATAAATATCGCTGTACACTGGGGGGGCGGGGCTTATGTACAAGTGGGCGGGGACATGCGGGAGGGGGTGGGACCATGCAAAATAAAGGAGGGGCGGGGCCAGAAGGGGATGAGTTGTCCAATAACGAAGGGGCGTGGCTGTGTGACGTCATAGTGACAAGCCACGCCCATGGGCGTGTCCTTTGATGAAAGGGGCGTGTCCCACGATGGGGGGGCGTGCCTCAGAAGGAAAGGGGCGGGTCCCAGAGGGAAGGGGCGGGTCCCGCGGGGCGCGGGGGGCGTGTCCGGGCGGGTGGGCGTGGTCAGGCGCGCGGTGGGAGGGGCTGGCTGACGCGCACGCAGCCCCAATAGGCCGCCCGCAGCAGACACGCCCCCGCGCCCGCCCCCAGCACCGCCCACGCCGCCGGCACCCACCGCGCCCCCCGGCGCCACGCCCACCACGTGCCGGCCTGGGGGCGGGGACAAGCGGGGCGGGGTCAGGCTCTGGCCACGCCCCCTGACCGCTCCCCTGACCCCTTACATTGCACCCGTTTAAGCCACGCCCATTTCTGACACGCCCTTCAGAGCCGCGCCCACTGAAGCCCCACCCGTTATGGCTCCACCCACTAAAGCCCCACCCACTTAAGCCACTCCCCTTTAAGCCTCACCCTTTAAAGTCCCTCCCACTTAAGCCCCACCCTTTAAGGCCCCTCCCCATTCAAGCCCCACCCATTTAAGCCCCACCCTATAAAGCCACACCCATTTGACTCCCACAATCTAAAGCTCCACCCACTTAATCCACACCCACTTAATCCACACCCCTTTAAGCCCCACCCCTTAAACCTCCACCCACATAAACCCCACCCCTTACACCCCCTCCCCTTCAAGCCCCACCCATTTCCCCCTTTAGCCCCGCCCCTTTACACCCACCCCCCCCAGACTCCACCCCCAGCCCCCCTTTGGCCCCGCCCCTCACCGCCAGCCCAGCCGCGGCCCCGCCCATCAGCAGGGCGGCCAATAGGCAGCAGAGGCAGCGTCGCCGTGGGAACCGCCGGCCAATCGCGGACCTGGGCGGGGCCAGAGGGGCGTGGTCAGCCATGGCAGGGGGCTCGGATACGCCCAAACATAAAAGGGGGCGTGGCCGCTGGGAAAGGGGGCGGGGCCTGACTTACACCTTGCGGCAGTGCGGGCAGCGAGCCAATGAGCGCTCGGGGAGCTCCGCCCACTGCGGGGAAAGGGGGCGTGGTCACATGGGGGTGGGCATAAATGGCCAGAAGGGGCGGGGCAAAAGGTGGGAGGGGTTTGAGGGTTCAGGGGGCAGAGTTTGGGGATGGGAGGTGTTAAGTGGGTGTGGCTTTAAAGGGTGGGGCTTAAGTGGGTGTGGCTTTAAAGGGCGGGGCTTGAAGAAGAGGGGCTTTAAAGGGTGGGGCTTAAGTGGGTTGGGATTTAAGGGGTGGGGCTTAAGTGGGAGGGGCTTTAAAGGGTGGGGCTTTAAAGGGTGGGGCTTTAAAGGGTGGGGCTTTAATTGTGGGGCATAAGTGGGCGGGGCTTGAGAGATTTGTTTTAAAGGGTGTGACTTAAGTGGGTGGGGCTTGAAGGGGAAGGGGCGTGTCTCAGCAGGAAGGGGCGGGCACAGCGGGGCCAATCAGGGGGGGAAGGGCATGGCCGCAAAGGTTGGGCCTGGTTAGGCGTGCGTAATGAGGTGGGCGTGGCCGAAGGGGGCGTGTCTCACCAGGAAGGGCCCCCCGCAGTGGGCGCAGGCCACGCGCACGCCCCCGGGGGCGGGGTCAGGGCTGGGCGCGCCCGTCTGCACCGGGCCCAGGTTGATGATCCTCTTACTGGGAGAACTGGGTTATACTGGGAGCCACTGGGATGGACTGGGATGGACTGGGAACCCCCCCAGTGCTCCCAGTATGGCCCAGCGACCATCCCAGTCCCTCCCAGTATAAACCAGTAACCCCAAATCATCTCCCAGTCCCTCCCAGTATAAACCAGTAACCCCAAATCCTCTCCCAGTGCTCCCAGTATGGATCAGAACGGCTCCCAGTCCCTCCCAGTATAAACCAGTAACCCCAAATCCGCTCCCAGTATGGACCAGAATGGCTCCCCGGCCCTCCCAGTATAAACCAGTAACTCCAAATCCCCCTTTAACCCCTCCCAGTCCCTCCCAGTACAAACCAGTAACTCCAAATCCCCCTTTAACCCTTTCGCAGTTCCTCCCAATGCCCCCAGTATAAACCAGTGACCCCCCCAATCCCCTCCCAGTATAAACCAGTAGCCCCCAATCCCCTCCCAGTGCCTCCCAATCCCCTCCCACTATAAACCAGTAGCCCCCAATCCCCTCCCAGTCCCTCCCAGTCCATCCCAGTCCCCCCCAATCCCCTCCCAGTCCCCCCTAGTCCCCCCCAATCCCCTCCCAGTATAAACCAGTAGCCCCCAATCCCCTCCCAGCCCCTCCCAGTCCGTCCCAGTACAGACCAGTACGGCCGCGGGCAGGCGATGCGCTGCGCTGAGGCCCTGCACACCAGCAGGCAGTTACAGGGACACCGCACGTACTTCTTACCGCCGGGGGCCGTCCTGATTGGCTGCCGCCGCGAAGGGGGCGTGGCCTCAGCTGGGACACGCCCCCCGAGCCGGCCTGCCCGGCTCAAACCACGCCCATCGACCGCAAACCCCGCCCAGACGTCGCCACAATGAGGTCAGGCCCCCTCAAAGAAGCCACGCCCATTCAGACCCCGCCCACCCATCGCAAACCCCGCCCATCCTCCACTTCAAGCCCCGCCCACTCAGACCGTACCCCGCTCCCTTCCTCTGGACGCCACGCCCCCTCACTGAAGCCACACCCACTCAGACACACCCCTTACCCAGCTCAAACCCCGCCCCTCCCCACCCCACCCACTCAGACCCCGCCCACTCGTTTGCACTGAAAGCCACGCCCCCCATCACGTAGGCCCCGCCCCCTCACCGTGGCCTCGCCACACCCCCCGCACTTGACCACGTGCTGGTGCGTCTTCCCCTCGACGCTGATTGGCCGCTGGCACACGCGACACGTGACAGCCGGAGGCCCCGCCCCCGGCGCCTCAGGGCTGCCCAATGGCGAGTAAGGGGGCGGGGCCTCGCCCGGACCAGCCCCGGCGCCGCCTGCCAATGGGAGAGCGGTGATTTACGAACGAAGCCACGCCCCCCGAAGCCACGCCCTTCCCTCAGCGCGCTAAGCCCCGCCCCTCCCGGTTCGGCGCCTCACCCAGACCCCGCTCCCGGATTAAACCCCGCGCACCCGGCGGGGCTCCGTCCCCTCTCACCGGCGGCCGCGGCCCCGCCCGGGCCCGGCCCCGCCTCGGGCGGCAGCAGCGGCGATCGCTCCCCGTCCGCCATGACAGCGCCCTGCGCCACGCCCCCCTGAGCCCGATTGGCCCGCGCCGGTCACGAGGGGGCGGCCCCGCCGCCACCCGCGCTGCCATTGGCCGCGCCGCCTCACGTGAGGCTCCCCGGGCGCTCCCATTGGCTCTTTTCGCGTCACGTGGCGCCCCCGCCTCGCTATCACCGGGCGTTGCCGTGGCAACGCCAGCGCGCCGCTCTTCCGGGTCCCCATTGCGCTCTCCCATTGGCCACGCCACACCACGTGACACCCCCGCCTCCCATTAACCCGCCGTTGTCCTGGCAACGCCCGCGCGCCTCTTTTCCGGGTTCCCCTCCCCGCGCTCCCATTGGCTTCTCGCACGTCACGTGACGCTCCCCGCCTCCATTTCCTCTATTCCCGGCACCGCACCGCCCACCCCGCCCTCCCATTGGCCGCTCCCCCGCGCGCCCCGCGCTCTGATTGGCGGCTGCTCCCGCCGCTGCCCCCGCTCGTCGCCATGGCGACGGGCAGCTCTCTCCGATTGGGCCAGGCCCGGGGGGCGCGCCGGGGACGTCAGAGGAAGCGCCGCCACATAAGGCGCGGTGGGCGGGGCCTGGCCCTCAGACGCTGCCGAGATGGACGGGAGGTGAGGGGGGGCGTGGGCGGGGGAGATTTTGGGGCGATTTTTGCGATTTTTGGGCCTTTTTGGGCCTGGGATGGGGTCGGGGGGATGGAGGGGGAGTGGGATCGTCCAATGGCATCGCGGCCCGGGGGGGTCCGGCGGCCAATCAGCATCCGGCGGGGGGGCGTGGCCAGTGGGGGGTCTCGGAGAGCCCCCTCCCCAAATTATGGTAATGAGGGGACGGGAAGAGGCGCGGGTTTGGGGGAAATTTTGGGGATTTTGGGGCTTTTTAGGGGGGCGGGGCCGGGCCCAAAGTCCGGCTGGCCCCGGGCCCGGGCCCAGGGCGAGGGTCAAGGGCAGGATGGGGAGGGGCTGGGGTCATTTGGGGGTCATTTAAGGGTTATTTAAGGGTCATGGGGTCATCTTGGGTTCACCGTGGGGGTCCTGGGGTCATCCCGGGGTCATTTCAGTGGGTCCTGGGGTCATCCTGGGGTCATCCCGGGGGTCATGACCGTCCCTGGGGTCATCCTGGTGGTCATGGGGTCATCCCAGGGTCATTTCAGGGGTCTTGGGATCACCCTGGGGTCATCCTGGGCTCATCCTAGGGGCCCTGGGGTCATTTCAGGGGCCCTGGGGTCATCCCGGTGTCATTTGGGGATCCCGGGGTCATCCCGGGGGTTGTGACAATCCCTGGGGTCACCCCAGGATCATTTTGGGGGTCCTGGGGTCACCCTGGGGTTATCCTGGTCCATCCTGGTTTATTTTAATTCAGACTGGTCCATACGGGTTTATACTGGTCCATACTGGTCCTTACTGGTTTATACCAATCCAAACTGGTCCATACTGGTCCTTACTTTGGATTATACCAACCCAAACTGGTCCGTACCAATCCAAACTCGTCTGTACCAATCCAAACTGGTCCTTACTGATTTATTTCAATTTAGACTGGTCCTTACTGGTTTATACCAATCCAAACTGGTCCAGACTGGTCCAGACTGGTTCATACCGGTCCATACCGGTCCATACTGGTCCTTACTGGTTTGTTTTCCCGCCCCAGTTTCGAGGCGTGCGCGGAGGCCGCGCGGTGGCTGCGGGCGCAGTTCCGGGAGCCGCCGCGGGTGGCGCTGGTGTGCGGCTCGGGGCTGGGGGCGCTGGCCGAGGAGCTCACGGAGGCCAAAACCATCGACTATCGCGACATACCGCACTTCCCCCGCAGCACCGGTACCGCGACAGGCCGGGGGAACTGGGAATCGGGGCTCGCTGGGGTCACTGGGAGCACTGGGAGCACTGGGAGGGGCTGGGAGCGGCGACAGAGCTGCGACTATCGCGACATACCGCACTTCCCCCGCAGCACCGGTACCGCGACAGGCCGGGGTTTATACTGGGAGCGGTCACTGGGGTCACTGGGGTCACTGGTTTATACTGGGAGCTGTTATTGGGGTCACTGGGGTCACTGGTTTATACTGGGAGTGGTCACTGGGGTCACTGGTTTATACTGGGAGCAGTCACTGGGGTCACTGGTTTATACTGGTTTATACTGGGATCGGTCACTGGGGTCACTGGTTTATACTGGGAGCTGTTATTGGGGTCACTGGTTTATACTGGGAGCGGTCACTGGGGTCACTGGTTTATACTGGGAGGTGTCACTGGGGTCACTGGGGTCACTGGTTTATAGTGGGAGCGGTCACTGGTTTATACTGGTTTATACTGGGAGGGGTCACTGGGGTCACTGGTTTATACTGGGAGCTGTTATTGGGGTCACTGGGGTCACTGGTTTATACTGGGAGCTGTCACTGGGGTCACTGGGGTCACTGGTTTATACTGGGAGGTGTCACTGGGGTCACTGGTTTATACTGGGAGCTGTCACTGGGGTCACTGGTTTATACTGGTTTATACTGGGAGCTGTCACTGGGGTCACTGGGGTCACTGGTTTATAGTGGTTTATACTGGGAGGGACTGGGACTGGCAGGGCTGTGACTATCGCGACATATCGTGACATACCTTGAGACGCCGCGTGGGTTTTGGGTGATTTTGGGTATTTTTGGGCCGTTTTTGGGCTATTTTGGGGTCTCAGGTGGGCCCGGGGGTCACCTGTGTCACAGGTGGGCGTGGTGACCTCCGGCCCCGCCCCCAGTGCAGGGCCACGCCGGCCGATTGGTCGTCGGGCGCCTCGGCTCCGCCCCCTGCGCCGTCCTGCAGGGGCGGTTCCACCTCTACGAGGGCCACGCCCCCAGCCAGGTGAGTCATGGCCACGCCCACTCCTGGGGGAATGAGCGCAGCTGGGGGCGGGGCACAGCTGAGGCCACGCCCCCATTCCCCAGCCCCTCCCATGGGCCCAGCCCCTCTGTCCCACCCCCATCCTCTAGCCACGCCCCCTGGCCACACCCAATGACCAATGAGTGACCACCTGAGTGACCAATGAGTGACCACAGAGTGACCACGAAGTGACCAATGAGTGACCACAAAGTGACCAATGAGTGACCACGAAGTGACCAATGAGTGACCAATGAATGACCACAGAGTGACCAATGAGTGACCACTGACCATAACTGCCCATAACTGACCACAACTGACCACAGGTGGTCATTCCTGTCCGGACCATGGCCCTGCTGGGTGTCCACACCCTGGTGCTGACCATGACTGACCACTGAGTGACCATAACCGCCCATAACCGCCCATAACTGACCATAACTGACCACAACTGACCATGAGTGACCATTCCCAGGTGGTCATTCCTGTCCGGACCATGGCCCTGCTCGGTGTCCACACCCTGGTGCTGACCATGACTGACCATAACCGCCCATAACCGCCCATAACTGACCATGAGTGACCATGAGTGACCACGAGTGACCACAACTGACCACGAGTGACCATTCCCAGGTGGTCATTCCCGTCCGGACCATGGCCCTGCTCGGTGTCCACACCCTGGTGCTGACCATGACTGACCATAACCGCCCATAACTGACCATGAGTGACCATGTGTGACCACGAGTGACCATTCCCAGGTGGTCATTCCTGTCCGGACCATGGCCCTGCTGGGTGTCCACACCCTGGTGCTGACCATGAGTGACCATGACTGCCCATAACTGACCACAACTGACCACGAGTGACCATTCCCAGGTGGTCATTCCCGTCCGGACCATGGCCCTGCTGGGTGTCCACACCCTGGTGCTGACCATGACTGACCATGATTGACCATGAGTGACCATAACTGACCACAACTGACCACGAGTGACCATTCCCAGGTGGTCATTCCCGTCCGGACCATGGCCCTGCTCGGTGTCCACACCCTGGTGCTGACCATGACTGACCATAACTGACCACTGAGTGACCATAACTGACCGTGAGTGACCATAACTGACCACAACTGACCACAACTGACCACGAGTGACCATTCCCAGGTGGTCATTCCCGTCCGGACCATGGCCCTGCTGGGTGTCCACACCCTGGTGCTGACCATGACTGACCATGACTGACCATAACCGCCCATAACTGACCATAACTGACCACGAGTGACCATAACTGACCACGAGTGACCATTCCCAGGTGGTCATTCCCGTCCGGACCATGGCCCTGCTGGGTGTCCACACCCTGGTGCTGACCATGACTGACCATGATTGACCATGAGTGACCATAACTGACCACAACTGACCACGAGTGACCATTCCCAGGTGGTCATTCCCGTCCGGACCATGGCCCTGCTCGGTGTCCACACCCTGGTGCTGACCATGACTGACCATAACTGACCACTGAGTGACCATAACTGACCGTGAGTGACCATAACTGACCACAACTGACCACAACTGACCACGAGTGACCATTCCCAGGTGGTCATTCCCGTCCGGACCATGGCCCTGCTGGGTGTCCACACCCTGGTGCTGACCATGACTGACCATGACTGACCATAACCGCCCATAACTGACCATAACTGACCACGAGTGACCATAACTGACCACGAGTGACCATTCCCAGGTGGTCATTCCCGTCCGGACCATGGCCCTGCTCGGTGTCCACACCCTGGTGCTGACCATGACTGACCATGAGTGACCACAACTGACCATAACTGACCATGAGTGACCATGAGTGACCATGAGTGACCATTCCCAGGTGGTCATTCCCGTCCGGACCATGGCCCTGCTCGGTGTCCACACCCTGGTGCTGACCAACGCCGCGGGGTCGCTGCGGCCGGAGCTCGGCCCCGGTCACCTGCTGGTCATCCGTGACCACATCGACCTGCCCGGCCTGGCCGGACGCTCGCCCCTGGTGGGGCCCAATGACGACAGGTACGGAGCGGGGATTTGGGGGAAAAACGGGGGGATTTGGGAAAAACGGGGGGATTTGGGAAAAACGGGGGGTTTTGGGGGAAAAAAGGATTTTTTGAGGGGAAAAATGAACATTTTTGGGGCTCATTTTGGGCCTGATTTTAGGGTTAAAAATGAACGTTTTGTGGGCGATTTTGGGGTTAGAAATGGACATTTTGAGGCCAGTTTTGAGGCCGATTTTAACGTTAAAAATGGACATTTTGGGGCTGATTTTGGGGTTAGAAATGGACATTTTGTGACCAATTTTGGGGCTGATTCCAGGGTTAAAAACAGACGTTTTGGGGCCGATTTTGGGGTTAGAAACGGACAGTTTAGGGCCGATTTTGGGGCCGATTTTAGGGTTAGAAATGGACATTTTGAGGCCAATTTTGAGGCCAATTTTAACGTTAAAAATAGACATTTTAGGGCCAATTTTGACACTGATTTTGGGGTTAAAAATGGACATTTTCCAGGCCGATTTTGACACCAATTTTAGGGTTAAAAATGGACATTTTGAGGCCGATTTTGACACCAATTCTGGGGTTAAAAGTGGACATTTTAGAGCCGATTTTGACACCAATTTTGGGGGTTAAAAATGGACATTTTTCGGCCGATTTTGACACCTATTTTAGGGTTAAAAATGGACATTTTGGTGCCGGTTTTAGGGTTAAAAATGGACATTTAGGGGCCGATTTTAGGGTTAAAAATGGACATTTAGGGGCCAATTTTGGGGTTAAAAACGGACATTTTTCGGCCGATTTTGACTCCAATTTTAGGGTTAAAAATGGACATTTTAGAGCCGATTTTGACACCAATTTTGGGGGTTAAAAATGGACATTTTTCGGCCGATTTTGACTCCAACTTTAGGGTTAAAAATGGACATTTTGAGGCCGGTTTTGACACCAATTTTAGGGTTAAAAATGGACATTTTTCAGGCCGATTTTAGGGTTAAAAATAGACATTTAGGGCCAATTTTGGGGTTAAAAATGGACATTTTTCGGCCGATTTTGACTCCAATTTTGGGGTTAAAAATGGACATTTTAGGGCCGATTTTGACACCAATTCTGGGGTTAAAAATGGACATTTCGCGGCCCATCCTCGGGCTGATTTTGGGGGTTCAGAACGGCCATTTCGGGGTCCGTTCCCAGGTTCGGGCCCCGTTTCCCGTCCATGACCGACGCCTACGACCCGGCCCTGCGGCGCCTGGCGCTGGCGCTGGCGCCCAAGGAGCTGCGGGCGCGCTCCGGGGTCTACGTGGGCGTGGGGGGCCCGAGCTACGAGACCCCGGCCGAGTGCCGCTTCCTGCGCAGGGCGGGCGCGCACGCCGTCGGTGAGCGGGGCGGGGCCTGGGGAAAGGGGCGGGGCTTGGGGCGGGCGCGCACGGCGTCGGTGAGCGGGGCGGGGCCTGGGGGAAGGGGCGGGGCGCGGGGCGGGCGCGCACGCCGTCGGTGAGCGGGGCGGGGCTTGGGAGAGGCGGGGCTTGGGGCGGGCGCGCACGCCGTCGGTGAGCGGGGCGGGGCCTGGGGGAAGGGGCGGGACTTGGGGCGGGCGCGCACGCCGTCGGTGAGCGGAGCGGGGCGCGGGGCGGGGCTTGGGAGGGGCGGGGAGGGGCCGGGGCGCACGCCGTCGGTGAGCGGGGGCGGGGCTTAGGGCGGGACTTGCGAGTGGCGGGGCGCGGCTTGGGAGGGGATAGGCGGGGCTTGGGGCGGGGCTTGGGAGGGGCCAGGGCCCACGCCGTCGGTGAGAGGGGGCGGGGCTTGCGAGGGGCGGGGCGGGGCTGGGGAGGGGATAGGCGGGGCTTGGGGCGGGGCTCGGGAGGGGCGGAGGCGCACGGTTTGTCCCCAGGTGTGTTTAGGTTTGTCCCCAGGCGTGCTCAGGTGTCCCCAGGTGTCCCCAGGTGTGTTTAGGTTTGTCCCCAGGTGTCCCCAGGTGTGCTCAGGTGTCCCCAGGTTTGTCCCCAGGTGTGTTTAGGTTTGTCCCCAGGTGTGCCCAGGTGTCCCTAGGTGTGCTCAGGTGTGTTTAGGTTTGTCCCCAGGTGTCCCCAGGTGTGCTCAGGTGTCCCCAGGTGTCCCAAGGTGTGCCCCGGTGTGTTTAGGTTTACCCCCAGGTGTCCCCAGGTGTCCCCAGGTGTGCCCAGGTGTGTTTAGGTTTGTCCCCAGGTGTGTTTAGGTTTATCCCCAGGTGTCCCCAGGTGTGCCCAGGTGTCCCCAGGTGTGCTCAGGTGTGTTTAGGTTTGTCCCCAGGTGTCCCCAGGTGTCCCCAGGTGTGCTCAGGTTTATCCCCAGGTGTCCCCAGGTGTGCTCAGGTGTGCCCAGGTGTCCCCAGGACTCCCCAGCTGTCCCCAGGTGTGCTCAGGTGTCCCCCCCCCCCCGTCCCCAGGTATGAGCACGGTCTCGGAGGCGGCGGCCGCGCGTCACCTGGGCCTGCGCGTGCTGGGGCTGTCGCTCATCACAAACTCCGCCCCCGCCGACAGCGACGACGAGGACGAGGGTGACGTCACGGGCGGAGGGGCGGGGCCCGGGGCACGCCCCGCCCCGCCGGGGGCGGGGCACGAGGAGGTGCTGGCGGCCGCCCAGGAGGGGGCGCGGCACCTGCGGGCGCTGCTGGCGGCCCTGGCCCCGCGATTGGACGAGCCCGGGAGACACGCCCCCCTCCGTGACGTCATCGCGGGAGGGGCGCCGTCGTCGTAGGGGTGATGGCGTCGCGGGGGGTGATGACGTCATAGGGGGCAGTGCCTTGGGAACGCCCCCCCCCCCCCGTGAGGTGTGGGGGGGGGCGCCGGTGCCTTGGTCCCGTGGGGAATCGAACCCCAAAAAAAATCTCAAAATCTCCCAAAAAATCCCCAAAAATTCCCCAAAAATTCCCCAAAAAATCTCCACGAAATCTCCCAAAAAATCCCCAAAATTCCCCAAAAAATCCCAAAAAAATTCCCCAAAAAATCAAAAAAAAATCCCCCCAAAAAATCTCCACGAAATCTCCCAAAAAACCCCCCAAAAAATTCCCCAAAAAATCTCCACGAAATCTCCCAAAAAATCCCCAAAAATTCCCCAAAAATTCCCCCCAAAAAATCTCCACGAAATCTCCCAACAATCCCAAAAAATTCCACAAAAAATCCCCAAAAAATCTCCCCGAAATCTCCCCAAAAAAACCCCCAAAATTCCCCAAAAATTTCCCAAAAAATTCCCCAAAAAATTCCCCCAAAAATCCCCAAACAATCCCCCCAAAAAATTCCCCAAAAAATCTCCACGAAATCTCCCAAAAAAATCCCCCAAAAAATCCCCCTCCAAAAATCTCCACGAAATCTCCCAAAAATCCCCAAAAAAATCCCCAAAAAAATCCAAAAAAATCCCCCCCAAAAATCTCCACGAAATCTCCCAAAAAATCCCCAAAAAATTCCCAAAAATTCCCCAAAACTTCCCCAAAAAATTCCCCAAAAAATCCCCAAAAAATTCCCCCAAAAAATCCCCAAACAATCCCCCCAAAAAATGCCCCCCCCCAAAAAAAATCCCTTGGGAATCACCTGGAAATCTCCCAAAAAATCTCCCCAAAATCCCCACGAAATCTCCCCACAAAATCCCCCCAAAAAATCTCCACGAAATCTCCCCAAAAATCTCAAAAAATTCCACAAAAAAATCCCCCCAAAAAATAAAAAAAAAATGCCTTGGGAATCACCTGGAAATCCCCACAAAATCCCCCAAAAATCTCTTGGGAATTTTCTGGAAATCCCGTGGGAAAAACCCCAGGAAATCCCCCCAAAAAAATCCCCCCAAAATTCCCCCACAAAATCCCCCAAAAATCACCTGGAATTTCCAGAATTTTCTGGAAATCCCCCCCAAAAAAATTCTCTCTTGGGAAATCCTCAGAAATTCCCCCAAAAAATTCCCCCCAAAAATTCCCACAAAAATCCCTTTGGGAAATCCCCCGAAAATATTGGGGAAAAATTGGGGGAAAATGGTAAAAAATGGGGGGAAATGTAAAAAAAAAACGGGACGGGGGAGGGAAAGGGGAAAATTTTGGGTGAAAATGGGGAAAAAAATGGGAAAAATCTGGAAAAGCCCCCGGGGAATTCCGCGGGAATTTCGTGACATTCCAGTGTCATTAATTAATTAATCCCGTGTCATTAATTAATTAATCCCGTGTCATTAATTAACCCCGAGTCGTTCCCCCCTTGTCACATTTGCGCTGGATTTTGCCTTAATTCCGTGTCGTTAATTAATCCCGTGTCATTAATTAATTCCGTGTCGTTAATTTGTCCCGTGTCATTAATTAATTCCGTGTCGTTAATTAATCCCGTGTCATTAATTAATCCCGTGTCGTTAATTAATCCCGTGCCATTAATTAATTCCCAGTCATTAATCCCGCGTTTAATCCCATTATTTAATTCCATGTCGTCGGTTCCGAGTAATTAGTCCCATGTCATTAATTAATCCTGTGTAATGAGTTAATTCCGTCTCATTAATTCCACGTCATTAATGCCGCTATTAATTCCATGTCATTATTTAATTCCACGTCATTAATTCCGAGTCATTAATACTGTGTCATTAATTAATTCTGTGTCATTAATTAATTCCAAGTCATTAATACTGTGTCATTAATTAATTCCGTGTCATTAACTAATTCCGTGTTATTAATCCCGTGTCATTAATTACTTTTGTGTCATTAATTAATTCCGTGTCATTAGTCCTGTGTCATTAATTAATTCCGTGCCATTAATTAAATCTGTGTCATTTATTAATTCCATGTCAATAATTAATTCCAACTCATCAATTCCATGTCATTAATTCCGTGTCATTAATTCCGTGTTATTAATTCCCATTCATTAATTCCCATTCATTAATTCAGTGTTATTAATTCCGTGTCATTAATTCCAATTCCAGTGTTATTAATTCCAATTCATTAATTCCGTCTCATTAATTAATCCCGGCTCATTAATTCCCTGCTGTCCCAATCTTTGTCCCCTCCGCATTTTGCCTTAATTCCGTGTAATTAATTAATTCATTAATTAGCTCCCTTAACGAGCGGCGACCTCTCAGGGCCAGGGTTAATTAACCCCATTGATTAATTACCCCGGGCTAATTAATCCCCTCCAGGAATCCTTCCAGGCTCGTTAGCCTCGTTCTGTTAATTAATTAATTAATTAATTAATAGGCATTCCAGGCTAATTAATCCCCATTCCTTAATTATTCCGGGTTAATTAGCCCACCCAGGTAACTGCCCCGGGTTCATTAGCGCTGTCACTTTATTAATTAACAGTTAATGACGGTTAATTAATTATTAAAGGCTGGATATCCCCTCGATTAATTAGTCAGGGTAATTAATGATTAGCTAGCCCAGGCTGATGATTCATTATTAATTATTAACGGTTCGTTACCAGCCCAGATTAATTAACTCAGGGCTCATCCTTGCCATTAATTAATCAATCCATGCTAACGGCACCTGCGGTTAATTAGCAAAGGCTAATTAATTACCCTGCTTGATTAATTGAGGCGGCTGCTTTCGGGGGGGGCTTAATTAACCCCGGAGGCTTAATTAATCAATGATTAGAATATAATTAGCCTCTAATTAATATTAATTAATCAATATTAATTAATCAATGATTAGAGGCTAATTAGGCAATTCCTCACTGGGCCGCTCCGTCCCCCCTTGCGCTGCTCCTTAATTAATTAATGAATTAATTAATTAATTAGTAATTAACCGGACATTCCAGCTCGTTTACATTCCAGGGCGCCCCTCCCCCCCCTCTCCGGGCCAGTTAATTAATTAATTAACGAATTAATGATTGATTAATTGAGGGAGGGGTGGGCGTGGCCTCGGACCGCGGTTCATAAGCGCGATCGATTAATTAATTAAAGCTCATTAATGCCAATTAAATTAAAGTCTGTTAGAAGGTTCATTAAGAGTCGAGTGCTGTTAATTAAAAATTGGTTAAAAGTTCATTAAGAGTGGAGTGCAGTTAATTAAAAAGTCGGGAAAAAAGTGAATTAAGGGCGAAAAAATTAATTAAAAGTGTTTAAAAATTAATTAAGGGGGAAAAATTAATTTAAAGTGTTTAAATGTTAATTAAGGGTGAAAAAATAATTTAAAGTGTTTAAATGTTAATTAAAGGTGAAAAAATTAATTAAAAGTGCTTAAATGTTAATTAAGGGCGGAAAAATTAACTTACAGTGTTTTAAAATTAATTAAAGGTGAAAAAATTAATTAAAAGGTTTTTTAAGGTTAATTAACCGTGAAAAAATAAATCAAAGTTGTCTAAAAGTTAATTAAAGCCTGGAACAAATTTAATTAAATATCTGACAAAAGCCCATTAAGGATTCCATTAATTTAAAGGGATTTTTTTAAACTCAATTTAGGTCGAAAAATTAATCAGGGTTTTAAGAAGTTAATTAAGGGTGAAAAGAGTTAATTAAAGTTTTTTAAAAGTTAATTTAAAGTTTTTTAAAGTTAATTTAAAATTTTTAAAGTTATTTAAAGTTTTTTAAAGTTAATGAAAAGTTTTTTGAAAGTTAATTAAGAGCGGAATGAAGTTAATCAGAAGCTTTTTTGAAAAGTTAATTAAGGGTGAACAAAGTTAATTAAAAGTTTTTTAAAGTTAATTTGAAGTTTTATAAAGTTAATTTAAAGTTCTAAAGTTAATAAAAAGTTTTTTTAGAGTTAATTTAAAGTTTTAAAAAGTTAAGTTAAAGTTTTTGAAGTTAAAGTTTTTTAAAGTTAATTTAAAGTTTTTATAGAGTTAATTTAATGTTTTAAAAAGTTAATTTAAAGTTTTTTAAACTTAATTTAAAGGTTTTCTAAAGTTAAATTTTTTTTCAAGTTAATTTAAAGTTTTAAAAAGTTAATTTAAAGTTTTTTAAAGTTAATTTAAAGTTTTCTAAAGTTAATTTAAAGTTTTTTAAAGTTAATTTAAAGTTTTTCTAAAGTTAAAGTTTTTTAAAGGTTAATTTAAAGTTTTAAAAAGTTAATTTAAAGTTTTTTAGAGTAAATTTAAAGTTTTTTAAAGTTAATTAAAAGTTTTTTAAAGTTAATTTAAAGTTTTTTAAAGTTAATTTAAAGTTCTAAAATTAATTTAAAGTTTTTTTAGAGTTAATTAAAAGTTTTAAAAAGTTAATTTAAAGTTTTTATAGAGTAAATTTAA